TTATTGCTTAAATGAACCTATCCTTGTATATGTTGTATAAATAACCCAGAAATGAGGCTTGTAACATAGGCTGAGTCCATTCGTATAAATGGATAAGTAATGCAGACCCCTGAAAGCGTGGCAGTCAAATGGTATACACAGAGAAGTGGACTTGATTTGTGGACGTAATACAATACTGACAATTGTTAAAGTAATCAACAATAATCTATTTAAGCAAGCAATACTTTAACCGAATGTTATATACACATGAAATGGTGAATATAATTCATGAAAGGATTATACGTGAACACACAGAACAGCCGAAAGCAAATGTGAGAGGAACACAGAAGTTAGAATAGTTTAACCGTATGATTTATGCGAACCAAAGCGTGTATGAGTGTATGTAAAATTTGCCGAACGGCAAAACAACCGAATGAACATTCGTTTAAATAACATGAATAGGATATGCGAAATGACTATTGAACAATTTAAAACATGTTCAGCCGAATGACCGTACGAATGAAAAGCCCGCGAATGGCTTGAAACATTAGTGTCATAACCAGGGAAAAGCCGTAAAGCGAGGACCCGTGCTGTACCGTACGCCGTGGGAACCAGTCCTGGCGTGACAGGAAGGTCTGACTTACGGTTTAGGAGTCCCTGGGACGCGATCTATGACGGAGAACGGAGTCAGAAGAAGCTGGACGGGCGGAAAGACCTGAACAGGATTCCTGGACACAGCTTAACGTGGTGAAACCTCCTGGATACTGAAACCAAGATGGCGTCTGAGAGAACCCGGAAGTGGATCCTCATTCAACGCTGACCTCGAACGGTAAGGAGCCAGGCAAGGGGAGTGCCTTAAGTAGGCTAGGGGTAGAAAACCAGCACCTCCCACAAATGCAGGCAAATTGCCTTAATACATATACTCATTGTGACGGACCGCCTGGCACCCCGACTGGGTGACTCCGCCAATCGTTGCATCCTAGTAGCCTGGAGTACTATAAGCACCACACCGGACACCATAAGCACCGTAGCCCCTTAGCCTCAGCAGCTTGGCTCGGGTGTGTTTGTCCTCCACCCACCCGGGACCCAAGCCCTGGATCCAGCTTCCAGTGGGTGGACCTCTCCTACTCCAGAGAGTCTAGCAGGTATAGCTGTGTAGCTCTTACAAGTGATTATAGCCAGTATAACAATCCAAAGTAGATTTAGCTGGTATAGCTGTTCCCTACAATTACTTTTTCCTAAACACCCCAAAAGTACCCCAAAACACATAAAACACAACAGTTACATCCTCTGATAGCCCTGATCTGCGTGACCAACATATCCAAAAATTACCCTGATAAGTTCAGGGGTTCAGGGATTTATTTGACCGACCACAGGCCTGGTCCCATTCCCAAAACAGTTCCAGAGAATCATGGCTTGCGGTCGCTCTAGTTCGGTAGTTTGAAAACGAACAAACTACCGAACAGAGTCAATAATCTTACCCTGGAGCTTTTTTCCCCTCATCCAGACGAGCGATTTCACCGAACAGTGCCCTTCTAAGTTGTATAGAACCGAACAAAGTTTCTTTGCCCAAACACCGCTGCCTTCGTTCATGCGAATAAGATGGCCGCCGCCTTGTGGTTGTCCATAGGAATTGAGGGCACCCAGACGAACAATTAGAACACTGTAGTGAGAACAATTCCAAGTTGGTAATAGGTGTTGTAACGGACCGTTTTGCACAAAAGGGAAAAAAAAACGCTTAGACTATAATCCCCTTTCAGAGACAGGCACAGCTACTGTAGAATCACCAAAACTCACGAATTGAATACAAGTGAATGCACCAAACACCCGAACTGCATACAAGGGAATGCTCCAAACACTCGAACTGCATACAAGGGAATGCTCCAAACACCCGAACTGCATACAAGGGAATGCTCCAAACACTCGAACTGGAACCTCACGAATAGCTGCTAGCAGACGAACAGGAAAAGCACCCAATCGGCTTACACTCCTGGCAATCAGTCTCTATCAGCATTCAGTAAATCCCCCCAAAGATGAGACAGAGCTCCGTGTTGAGGGTCAAGCAGTGGTCTGTTTAATGAGGGCTACCTGCCCAGTATTTACGCAGGTCTTCCACTTGGTGGACACTCCCCTAGGGGACCAAATGGGAGACTGTAACAAAAGACAGACATGTACCAATTACAGACATACAGAAGTAAAACATCCCCACAATGCATCCTGGCTTCCTCCCCTCTGCCCTGGAGAAGTAATTCAATTATCTCCCAGGACAAAGGCAAAACTCCATTACACACGTGGGGACACAAAGACAGACTATCACTTTAAAATACATAATGGGACAAATGGTACAGTAAATATATACATGTAACATATCCCCAGATAGCTCAGATCTGAGTGCACATTATTGGTGAATGGCACTCAGACCACACGAATGCAGTTTAATTGCCATGGAGCCAAAGTCTTTAATTCCACGAACAGGTTCCATGGCATAGCTATCTGGGTTAAAACATTCCCCCAACACAAAATACCGAATTTACATGCATTCGTTAAATCCGTACGAATTAGAACCAGGGGTTGGAGGTTCAGCGGTGCCTGCACGTAAAAGTGTCCGGGTTTGGTGCAGGAAAGCCGGGCAGAAAAGCGCTGGCTGGGGGAGCTCCAGAACACCGCCATCGTGTGGCGGCTAAGTGTAACCGCGACCACCCAGTAACAATCAATTAAGCTGCGGTTAACCGCAGCTACTGGGTGGTCAATTGCCGGCACACGCTCGTTAAGCCGCGGTTAACCGCGGCTTCAGGGAGGTAAATGGAGGGCGCACTCCAGCTTCTGGGTGGCCAATTAACAGCGCCGGCCGGCTTCCCACAGCTCTGGGGAGGCTGATAGAAGTCTGTTTGTTCGGTAGATAGAATCTACCGAACGGCTGTGCAGAAAGGGAGAAATAAACCCTTCTGCACAGTAAAATTAACCCTTTAGCTGCCGGTCCATAATCCAAACGCAGCAGGTGGGCAACCAGGCTCCTCCAATGCAATGTGGCGAGATTGGTCTCGTCACAGGTGTTAACAAGCTCCAGGGTGGTCTCCGGTTGGTGCGGTTATTCGGTAACCGAACCATATAAACCCAAACAGGCTTTTTAAAAAAAATTATTTATTTTTGTTGTGCGAGCTTTACATCATGCTTGAGTAGTCACGACAGCTATATCAAGCTCAATTGTGACAGTTAACAACATCATTATGGCATTTCAAATTACTGCACATTTTAAGTGATAGTAATAGAAACGTAGAGTAAATCAACATCTTGTTATCTTATAAACAGATTAGTTCCCGTATGGGCAATTGTGTATGTGTACGGTTATGGTAGTGTGTGTCGGTTGTGTGCGGTACGGGGAATCTTTAACTTGGCCTTCTCCCTTGTGGTGGGGCTGGTGTACCTTTCCCGTTAAGGTGCAGGGAAACAACATGAGTTGGCCGTATTATGTGGCCGTGCACAGTGTTTGTGGCAGGGGCAAAGTTACGGCCTAGTGTGACGTAGGCTTGCAAGGAAAACTTAGAGTATCTGTTTGGTGTCTGTTTAGCGTGTAAGCCAGCTTCACTTGGCTATATTATACTGGGAGCAGCTTGGAGCTGGGGGGAGTTAGGTGTTATATTGGAGCCAGTTGTCTGGGTTAGTCCGGGTGTCTATAATGGGTGCATGTGAGTCCTCCAAGTAACTATAACATATTAAACATATTAGGCAGGAGGACGGTGGTTCACAGAGTCTTTTTCCCGGATGCCACTTGAGAACCGGAACAAACGGGACGACGTTGGCTGGGTCCCAAGTCTTTGTGTTCAGGGGGGTCGCAAGGCCTAATTTGGCCACAACAGTGTCCATCTCTGCTATGTCCATTACTCGCTGTTCAATGTCCTGATGCTGTATTATGAGCACGTGTGCTGAATCCCAGTGGTATGTTACCCCTTTAGCCATTAGTAGCGTTGTCAGTGGACAGAGAGTTTGCTGCCATCTCAAGGTAGTGCGTGACAGGTCAGTATAGAACGTTATGCCCATACCCGAGTGGGGTCTTCCCTTTGATGGCTTTCATGAGTGCAACTTTATCCTGCCTGTTTTGGAGTTTGACCAGTAGGTCGCCTGTTGTATTGCCCGTGAGCTGTGGTGGTTTGGGTAGGCAGAACATGCCATCTAGCTGGATCCCCTTTGCCTGTCTGGGGGGCAACAGGGTTGCAAATAGCTTTCGGAGAAGATGGGGCATTTCCTCTGGGGACACTGTGTCAGGTAGGCCTTGGATTCTGATATGCTTCCATCTGCGTTTATCCTCCATGGCTGCTATCTGGTGGCACATTGCACCATGGGCTGTCATAAGATCTCTCGCCTGCACCTGGAGGTCGAGCACCTGGACTGTGTGCGTTTGTGTAAGTTGTTCCACATTGGTGAAGTGAGTTGTGAACTCTTTGACGTCCCCCCTTACTTAGGAGACCTCCGTGGACAGTGAATGGCGCAGGTCTGAGAAGAGAGCAGTGAGTATTTCTGTGGTAATCGGGTTGCCCGTTATTAGTTGTGCTGGCCTTGCCGGCCCTCTATATTCTGTATTCTCCCCGCAGTGCAGAGGGGCATCTTCTGAGCTGTCGGAGGATTCTTTGATGTCGGCCGCCATTTTAGGCCCCGTCGCGCCATGCGGTCTCCTCAGGAGTTCGCCTATATCTGTGGATTGCCTGGGCCGATCCAGGCGCATTTTTTTTTTCCCCCCATAGGTGTTGGAGTGTCGCTGGGCTGCTTTCTGCACTATTGGCAGGCGTTTTCGATCCAAATTTGGGTGTTTAGGGAGCTTGTATGTCGGAGCGTAGTGAGTATGCGACCGTGCTGGTTGAGCTCCCTCATCAAGGACCACTTCCTAGCTAGAACAGGGGACAAACCGCAGCACCTCTGCCCACAGTCGCCGTGGCTTGACTGGGGCTCTGGAACTGCTCCCTCCTGGAGCCGAATGGGGAACTTGCTCTATCCGCCCCCAGGCACTGGACGACACGCAGTCCTGGGAGCTCTAGCCTTACAAGGACTTTCCCTGTTGAATCCTCCACACTGGAACAGTGATTAGCCATTTCCCCTTCCAGTAACCAGACAACACATAGTTCTGGGAGTACAAGTTGGAATACCTTTATTGGCAGCCATAACTGGCCTTATATGCAGGTCCCCATGCAAGGGGCACTTCCCCCTGGACCTGAGATTAAACCACAGTAAAAACATACACACGATTACATTGGCTCTCAGGTCCAGGACACTCCCACACAAAACAAGATAATCCCTCCCATGTGCCTGGGAGATAATGGAGTCAAGAACTGTACTAACTAAATTATCGCCAGGCACAGAAAACACAAATTTTTACAAAAAAAGCAAAATGTCAGGATTACTGTTTGATCCAGCACGTAGAACTGTACAGCACGGATGACAAATAAGTAACGTATTACCGGTCCTTAGAATGGGCGGATTTAACGTACAAAGAATAGTCAAAAATACTAGCCGAGGTCAGGGAACACAGAAAGGGACACAGCGATGAGGAAAGCCAGGAGTCAGGATACCAGAATATAGAGAAGTCAATAAACAAAGCCAAAGTCAAAAACCAGGTAGAAAACTATAAACAGGAACGCGCTCTCAGACAACCACAAGGGAAACCACGACAGGGCACTGAGCAGGCTGAGAACTGGGCCTAAATACCCCTCCTTTAGTTCTGATAGGCTGTAACCGGCCTTTGACCCCAAAGTCAGTTACCAGGTTTCATTTGCATAATTGCTGCTCAGCATTAACCCTTCTGTGGATTAGGTTGCTGCTCGGCACAACTTTTCCTGTGTGGACAGTAAATGTCATTAATCACTTTTCTCTAAGCGGATGAATACATGACACCAGGTTTCATTTGCACAATTACTGCTCAGCATTAACCCTTCTGTGGATTAGGTTGCTGCTCGGCACAACTTTTCCTGTGTGGACAGTAAATGTCATTAACCACATTTCTATAAGCGGATGAATATGTGACATTACCCCCCACCTGAAGAACGCCCACCGGGCGGACAGGACCAGGCTTGAGAGGAAATTTAGCGTGAAAAGCGCGGATCTTACGGCCCGCATGCAGGTCAGGAGCCGAAACCCAAGAACGATCAGCAGGACCGTAACCTTTCCAAACAACCAAGTACTGTAAAGTGCCCCGAGAAAACCTAGAATCCACGATAGAAGATACCTCATACTCTTCCTGACCACCCACCACCACCGGAGGGGGAGGAACACAAGGAACAGTATATCTATTGCAGACAAGAGGTTTGAGTAAAGACACATGAAAAGTGTTGGGAATCCCTAAAGATGCAGGAAGAGCCAGAGAGTAAGACACTGGATTGATCCTACAAAGCACTCTATAGGGACCAAGGAATCTGGGGGCAAACTTCATGCTAGGGACCTTAAGCTTGATGTTGCGAGATGACAACCAAACCCGGTCCCCCAATTGGTACACCGGGTTGGCACTCCTACGCCTATCAGCAAAATGTTTGAAGCATTTGTTACAAACTGCTATTTGTAACTGGCCCTTTAAATGACCAATTGCCCTGCTTCCTTGTGTTATGGAGAAGCCTAATTGCCAGCCTTCTGCCCCATGACTATGGACCTAGTGTGTATGGCGATTTGACTGTATTTGTGGGATCTGAGCGCTGTTTGGATATATTGAGCGCTCAGATCCAAGCCATCTGGGGATAGGTTGAATGTGGGGGTTCTGTTCAGTTCAATAGGAGTTATGTATTTTTGTGTCTTTTTGTGTCTTTTGCTAACATGTGGTTAATGGAGTCTGCCTCTATCCCTGGATAATTGGATTACTTTCCCCATTGTCCAGGATAGAGGGCTCTGTAAATCCGGTTTGGGCCAGAAAACCATGCTGCCAGCCAGGCCCCAAAAGATACTTTTGCTAACTTTTGAACCCCTTGTCTGGTTTGTGCCAGTTTTTAATATGTTGCTCCCCTGAATGTATTGATTCTAAATATGTATTTTTATGAAGATTGGATGTGTAGTTTGGAAGTTATAGTACATGTATAAAAACTGTATTTTTACTGTTCTGTTTTAATTATGTTATGTGTTTATCTGAGGGATGGGAATTTCCCCGAATGTATATTGTTCCGATTGGTTATACTGCTAATTATGTGGGTGTCTCCCTTGCATGGGCAGAATCTCATAAAAGCAGAGTGTGTGCCATTAAACATCAGATCTTCTTGACCCTCTAACTTGCAGCCTTGACTCATGTTTGTAGGGGACAGCTATAATCAATACAGGGATTGCTATGCTCTTCATACTCCCTTAGCTACTGAGCTCTTGTAAGAGCTCTTGTTCCTGTTCCTGCTTCGCTCTGCAGAAGGAAGAGGTTCACCTACTGCAACCTGGATCCTGGTCGTGGGTCCAGGGCACAGAGCAGACGGCGAGATACCAGCCCAGCAGCGGTGGTTCGTGGAGTCTGCTGTACTTCTGGTGGCTACGCAGTAGTTATGGTGTCTACGGTGCTGATGGTCCTTTGGTGAGCGCAAGGAGCATCCTTTTCTACGGTCCAACTTCCAGCCAGCCTGGAGGCAACCGTAACAGCGTTCAGCAGCAGCCCCTAGAGCAGTTTGAACCTTAACCCAGGTATCCCGAATGGAGGCCAGACGCTCATCCAGAGCAGGAATGGCAGTATCAGAAAATACCGCAGGGAGAACCGTAGGATACAAAAAGATATGGAAGGGCTGCGCCAAATAAGGGTAGATAGTCCAGCAAAGTATTGCTAGGGTGCCAATAGATGGTCTAGGATACTTGATAGAGTTCCTCTGTGGATGCGTCTGGTGTAGACCGTTCCGTATATGTAAATACAAGAGAGGTAGAGGCGACTAATGGTATAGTATGAAAGTTCAGGGTGTGATAGGTAACAAAAAGTAAAGAACTCACATTCAGGAGAGCTATGGCCAGCTCTGGTGTGGATTGCGTACAGCGGTATAATCCCCGCTTATGGGATATGTAGGGAGGGGTCTCCGTCAGCACCGTCTGGTAGTCCAGAGCTCGAAAAAGAAAGACAGAAAGCAACAATAGTGCTCTCAATTTTGATGTGGTTCAATGTGCAGATAAGAAGAGGTAAAAAACTCACATTTGAGGGAGCTATGGCCAGCTCTGGTGTGGATAGCGTACAGCGGTATAATCCCCGCTTATAGGATATGTAGCGGCGATACGTCCGTCAGCACCGTCTGGTGATCCAAGGCTCCAATATAGAAGAATAAAAAGCAGCAATAGTGCTCTCAATTGTGATAGGTTAAGAGAGTAGTAGAGAAAATAAAATAATACTCACAAAGATAGAGCAGAGGTACTGCTCTATGGATAGGCGCCGGTGGTATGATCCCCACCTAGGATTTCTTGGAGTACTGGAACTTTAAACCGTAGGATGCCTACCATTATTGACAAAAAATGGACTGTGCCCAGAGGAGTCATGAACAGCATTGTTTCTAGCGAACTCGGCCCACGGGAGTAGTTCGGACCAATTGTCTTGTGTGCTATTAATAAAACAACGCAAATAAACTTGTAATGACTGGTTAGCCCTCTCAGCTGTACCATTGGTCTGTGGATGGTAGGAGGAGGAGAAGGAGAGATCAATCCCCAGTTGTTTACTGAACGCCCTCCAGAACCTGGACACAAACTGAGAGCCCCTATCAGACACAATATTGTGGGGGATGCCATGCAAACGGACAATTTCACGTATGAAAATTAGGACCAAATCTTGCGAAGATGGCAACTTCTTGAGAGGAATGAAGTGAGCCATCTTAGAAAATCGGTCTACAACCATGAGAATAGTAGTGAACCCAGCAGAGCTAGGAAGCTCAACAATAAAGTCCATGGATAGGTGGGACCATGGAATCTCAGGAACAGGAAGAGGCTGCAACAGGCCACAAGGAAGTGCATGAGTCACCTTAGAAACTGCACACACAGAACATGCCTGCACATACTCCTTTACATCTTTCCTGAGTGAATCCCACCAAAATGATCTAGTGATCGCGGCAGTGGACTTATTGATGCCCGGGTGTCCAGCAGTTATATTGTCATGGAACACTTTCATGATATTAACCCTTTCACATAGGGGAACGAACAGTTTATCACACGGTTTACCACTGGGCGCCTGAGGCTGGGCCTCCAGTATGGTGCCAAGCAGTGGAGAAGACAGTGAGAGGACAGTAGTAGCAATAATACACTCTGCTGGAATAATAGGAGATGTCATCTGTTCCGGAGCTGACTCATTATCAAATTGCCTGGACAAGGCATCAGCCTTGGTATTTTTAGAACCAGGTCTATAAGTAATGAGAAAGTTAAAACGTGAAAGGAACAGTGACCATCTAGCCTGTCTGGAAGACAAACGTTTGGCATCCCCTATATATGCCAGATTTTTGTGGTCGGTTATGATCAACAGGGGGTCCTTGGAACCCTCCAAAAGATGTCGCCACTCCTTGAGGGCAAGAATAATGGCCAACAGTTCTCTATTGCCAATATCATAGTTGCGCTCAGCAGGAGACATCTTTCTGGAGAAGTAGCCACAAGGATGCAATGGTGTTCCCTGGCTTTCTCTCTGAGAGAGAACAGCCTCTACCCCTGTCTCGGATGCATCAACCATCAATATAAAAGTTTTACTGGTGTCAGGATGTTTTAGTATGTCCGCAGAGGCAAATCTTTGTTTAAGAGTCTCAAAAGCATTCACAGCCTCTTTGGACCATACCGTGCTACTAACCCCTTTGCGAGTCATATTTGTGATTGGGGCTATTACAGAAGAAAATCCCTTGATGAATCTTCTGTAATAGTTGGCAAAACCAACAAACCTTTGAATGGCTTTTAAACCAGAGGGTAATGGCCAGTGTAGTACAGCCTCTAGTTTTTTAGGATCCATTTGAAATCCCGATGCAGTGATGTTGTAACCCAAAAAGTGGACTTCACGCTGGTCAAATATGCACTTTTCTAATTTACAATAAAGTTTATTTTTCAACAACATCTGCAGAACCTGTTTCACATGGGAGTGGTGAGTTTGAAGATCAGGGGAATACACGAAAATATCGTCCAAATAAACCAAGACAAATGAGTAAATGAATTCCCTGAGTACATCATTTATAAAGTCTTGGAATACGGCCGGGGCGTTGCATAACCCAACTGGCATTACCAGATATTCATAGTGTCCACTACGGGTATTAAATGCTGTCTTCCACTCATGATTCTCTTTAATTCTAACCAAATTGTAAGCGCTCCTAAGGTCAAGCTTAGTAAATACTTTAGCTCCCTGAAGTCTATCGAACAATTCGGAAATGAGTGGGATAGGGTATGCATTTTTTACAGTGATTTTATTAAGTGCCCTGTAGTCTATGCAAGGGCGTAACTCACCACCCTTTTTCTCAACAAAAAAGAATCCTGCACCAGCTGGTGAGGATGACTTTCTTATGTGCCCTTTGCTCAAGGATTCTTTGATGTATTCCTCCATTATTTTACTCTCCTGGGGAGATAAGGCATAAACTGCCCCCTTAGGTGGCATAGCGCCTGGAAACAGGTTAATGGCACAGTCATATGCTCTGTGGGGAGGCAATACATCGGATTGAGCCTTGTTAAACACCTCCTGAAGTTCTCGGTATTGTATGGGAACTCCAGGAGTTTGGGGAGTGGTAGTGGGAAGGTCAATAGTATCCAATCTCTTTAATACTGGTTTTATACATCTCCCCATACACTCTTTACCCCATTCTAATATCTCCCCATTAGTCCAGGCAATATAGGGATTGTGCTTACTCAGCCACGGAAACCCTAATATGATAGGACATGATGGTGAAGTAATAACCTGAAACGTCATCTCCTCCCTATGGGAGGCCCCAATGGAGATCGTAATAGGGACAGTTTTGTGGGTTATAAGCGGTTGTGTGAGTGGTCTACCATCAATAGCCTCTACAGCTAGCGGCGTAGGTCTCTCCCTGACCGGTATCTCATTACCCCTAATAAACTGGACATCAATAAAATTTCCAGCAGCACCTGAGTCCATTAGGGCACTGCAAGAAAACTTCTTGTTATCAATGGAAATAGATACCTCAAGGAGGAATCTACTTTTGTTTTTGTTAGAGGACAACTCCATCACACCTAAGATCTGTCCCCTTAAGGTTCTTAGGTGCGGAAGTTTTCCGGACGCACTGGACAATTAGTTATCATATGTCCCTTTCTACCGCAATATAGGCATAACCCCTCCCTTCTCCTATACTGTTTTTCGGCCTCTGACAGTCTAGTGACCCCCAACTGCATAGGTTCGGGTTCGGACTGTACAGGGAGGTTAGACAAAACAGGTTTAGAGAATTGAGGTGCTAGGGACATAGCCGTACGTCTGGTCTTGCTTCTGGTGACTTCTCTGAGTCTTAACCTATTATCAATATGCATGACAAACGTAATAAATTCGTTAAGACTCTTAGGTAATTCTTTAGCGGCTATCTCATCTAGTATAGTCTCTGAGAGACCCTTTTTGAATACTGAGATTAACCCATTGTTAGTCCAGTCTACCTCGGAAGCTAAAGTACGGAATTCAATAGCATAATCCGAGATAGACCTTGTCTGATGTGCATTAGGGCAGTGGAGGCGTCATCCTCTCTACCCAATGGCTCAAACGTGAGCTTGAATTCGGCAAGGAATTCCTGGTAATTATGAGCTATGCTCCGATTAGTCTCCCAC